TTTGTATGTATGGTTTTATGAGATTTTAGAACCAGAAGTTAACTTAATGCTGATATCGAATGATGCGGCTCTCGTGAATTCTATGATCGAAGAATTAGAAAAAACATACAAAGAAAAAACAGGAATGACAATCAAAATAAATATTGATAGCCGTTTTAAATTACCCGTCCAAGAAATATGTGGTATTTTGATTACAGCAAAGAACCGGACTATTATAATAGAAAACACATTGGTAGCGCGATTGCTCCGCCTAACCGAACGAGGAATACCACTTATAACCAACGGATTGTTCGGACCAAATCCACATAGAAGTGTTTAAGAAAATTCATGCGTTTTCTTATAATCAAAATGTGTTACCTCGTAGCATAGTATAATTGAGTCCAACGAATGTTATATATTGTTACAAAAATTCTCCATGAATGGGTTTCAATAACCAGTTACGATTTTGACGTAAGATGTGTTCATGCACTGGCTAAAAGTTAGCGTTTTATACGTATTAAAATAATCGAGATATTAATTCAAGTATTTGAACAATTCTGATTTTAAATATCATATTCAGTTTTTTTATTTTCTGATCAGTGGCGGATTTAACGGGAAAAAATAGAAATTTGCTGCCTGGGCCCCTACCCGAAAAGGCCCCGGGCCCCGGACCCAGTTCTGAGTCTTCACTTATTTTCATTCATAAAGTTTATGTACATATGTGTATTAAGTGGTCTACTAATTATGATTGAATCTTGTACAAATCATTTGCAAAAATACCTAACTTTAGAGAAGATATATATTATATATATTATTTATATTTTTAACAGTTTTTAAACATTATTTAGGCCATAAACTAACATAGTTTTTTTCTGAATTATGCGTAAATATACAGGGCAATGCACACAAAAGAAGTAAAATAGAACGATAAGAAGTCGAAAATATGGTTTAAATAATAACTTTAAGAGATATTAAGAAATATAAAATAGCCAAGTGGCGTCATTGGACCCTCCTCATCGTAATTGCTTATCTTTTACGTGTAAAAGTTCCTCGCTTCTCACGACGATTAACCAACCAAAATATTTTATTTTTGAAATGTAGTTTTTCTATAAATCTGTGGTTTCATGTGTTTAAGATGATGTAAGTATTAGAATTTCAATATGACGTTTAGTTTTTCGAATATTAAAAATATTAAAAGATACATTTTTGTTAAACAATCTATCGATCGCCGCTTGCCATGACCTGCCGTTTTACCAAAATGTCTCTTTTAATATTTTTAATATTCGAAAAACTAAACGTCATATTGAAATTCTAATACTTACATTGTCTTAAACACATGAAACCACAGATTTATAGATAAATTAAATTTCAAAAATAAAATATTTAGGTTAGTAAATTGTCGTGAGAAGCGAAGAACTTTTACACGTAAAAGATAGGCAATTACAATGAGCGGGGCCCAATGACGTCGCTCGTCTTTTTTCGTCTGCTCATAACTTATTGAATAATATGAGTAGAAAAGTTAACCCAATGCCATTATTCTAAGAATTTAACATTCTTTCAAATAAAAAAAAAATATATATTTTTTGTGTTGTATGCTCCTTTAACAAGTACATGTCTGCGAAATACAAGACTAAGATTCCAACGATAATGTGATTTATGAAACAAGACACCATAAAACTTAAGAACAATGATTGGGTACCAAGAAATGTAGGTATGTAATTTAAATGCTCGACCCAAACAAGAGTATTGCAACACAAGATCATTGTCGAATTTAGAAAAACTTAAATCACCAGCATGGAGTGTCTTATGAACAGTAAAATAATACATTATTTCATATAAAAAAAGTTATGCATACCCGTAACATTGTTGAAATAATTGAGTTATAATATACATGTTAACATCCTATTACAATGTTTATAATAAAAACATACCACGATACATGCAAGAGCAGGTAATAATTAAAGTGCCAACGGAAATTAAAAAGGTAATTATGTCTTTTAAAATCAATAAATCGAAGATAAAAACAAACATTACTTTTTCAGCTAGTGGTATAATTAATAGATTTGTGATATCGTAATCCTTTTTTTTTTACCTATTAATTTAAATTGTTTCAACAAAATTATTGTTTTATAGAATGAATTTAACAAATATAATTTTAAAAAATTAATCTTGAAAATTTGTTTGTACTTTTGTTTCAAAAGGTATATAAAAAAATAATCGAATTAAATTATACACATTGAAATATGCTTTAAATGGGTGAATTGTTTAATAATTTTTAAATTATTTAGGCTATGAATGAACCGAAATTAACTCCACAATACGCACATATTTGTTCACTAATAAAAGACACGGTAGTGTAATCAAAAGATTAGAAATCCAGTGCTTCGTTTCGAATAGTTTTGATTGCAAAGTGTCAAAACGCATTCGAGGCAATGTTCAACCGTAAACAAATTGTAGCCAAAAACCGCAACGAAATCTAGTCCTGTAAAGATAAAATATGAACGGCTCTCAATAACACTGATCAGTGCATATTTTAACTAATATACAGAGCGACATAAATGTCGCCAAATTAATATTTTTTGTATGTCATCTAGAAAATGATATATTTAATTACTGGGCGACAACGTTGTTTTGGTAAAAATTAAGATGTTTGTAATTATTTTAAAATTGTATTGTTGTATTATCACATAGAATATAGATGATACCTACACCTAATTTAATTTTATTATTACGTGAAGTGGAGAAACCGCGGTTCCATTCGCAAAATGGATGCAAACGTTGTCCATTTCGCGAAACGTACAATAACGCGATATGGATGTGACATATATATATATATGTCATAAATATATACATACATATATATGTATATATTTATTATACATATAATGTATAAATTATAGATATAATTTTATAATGTACACAAATATCATTGTTTTAAATATTATATGTATAAATAAATAATAAATGTTGTACATGTGTAATTATTAATTTTTCCGAGTTAGCGGACACCTCTAAATAACGGACAAAATTATGGCAACCAAGAGTGTCTGGTATTTAGAAGTTTCACTGTACATGATTTGGACCCCTCCCAGAAAAAATGTCTAGATACTGTCTAGATACTGCAGCCCCCTCCCAAATCCATACCTAAATTTATAAATTTATTTTTAATAAATTCCTAATAATGAATACCTAATTTATAAAAAAATGTATATTGTTAACAAAAAATTCATATTATAATATGTACTATTATACGACACTCAAAAGTATGTAGATAGAGCTATAGAGGCAGTAGCACATTTAAGGGTGAAAGGGGCAAATGCCCTGGATGGAAAATTTTTGGGAGCGGCAAAATATTCTAACTTATATTATTGATGTGCTTATGATTTTTTTAATTTTCACACCTTTTTCGGTATTGTTAAGTATTTTAAAAATATTGTTGAGCATCTAATAAGAAATTAAAAAAATTATACTATACCTAGTCACCTAGGTAATAGTGAAATACCTATTTTGCTTTTTCACTATTACCTAGATGACTAGGTATAGTATAATTTTTTTAATTTCTTATTAGATGCTCAACAATATTTATTATTCGATATTATATTTTCGTTCAATGTTTATAATAAATACTCGAGTACACAGAACGCGGTATTCACTTTAGGGCACATTTAAAAAGTTTACAAAAGGAGTAAAATTGTACCTAAAAGTGTTCAATGTATGTTAGCATTTATTAAAGAGATAGTTTAGTTGAAGTATATCCTTATATTGATATTGCTCTAAGGATGCTACTATGTATGTACTTTGTACACCTTCAAGTAATTGTTCAACGGAAAAATCATTTTCTACATTAAAAAGAGTCAAAACATATTTCAACAACCAGAGAAAATCATCTTAATTAATGAACAACCATTAATATTGAAGCTGATTTAACGAAAACTATTAATTTTAATGATATTATTGAACATTTTTCTTCTCAAAAGTCAAGAATAAAATTATAAGTTATCGATTATTTTATTATATATAATTAATAATAAATATAATAAAAAACCATGTATTGTTAATCATTGTGCATATAATAAGTATAAATTCCGTTTTCTATATTTAATATATATATATTTTAAGAAAGGAATATTCACTGAAAAAAAAAAATTAGGTTAACGTTAGTATATGTATTACCATTGAGTTTATAGTATACAATATATACATATATATATATATATTTTTGGGAAGGGGAAGGGTAGAAAATTTATTTTTCCCCGGAGCGCGTATGTATTAAATGCGCCACTGCATAGAGCGTGAGAGTGTTTCTCAACCTTTGTATAATGGCGACATACTATTAAAATATTTCATACTTTGCAACACATAGTAAAAAAAAATAAGAATAATAGATAGTATTAAATATTTATAATTAGTTAATAATATATAAACTTATAATATATAATCAATTATAATATATAAAACAACAAAGAAAAATATAACATAGGTAAAACAGCATTTTAATGAGAAATTTGTGACTGATATTTCTTACATAATATATCAATTCGTGGTGAAATCTTCAATAAGGCGACTCTTAACTCCTCTTCGACATTAATTAATCTTTCCCTTTTTTTGTTTTTAATTTCATTCAAAGCAGAAAAAGCTACCTCGCACAAATATGATGTCGAAAATGGTAATATTACGGAATGAGCCAATTTTGTTAAGTTCGAATATTCTTTTTTTTGTGTAAATCCAAAATTAGCCTAGCTCAAGCTCATTAAATTTCATTTGAAGAGTCCGATCGTTTTTTAATTCTGCAAGTTCTTCTTCCTCTTTTAATGAAAGATGTGTGGTTTTTAAACTAAGATTAAATGGATTCCTCACCCAATCAGATAATTTCAAATCCAGCGATGAAAAATAATGATCAAGTTTTTAGTCCAATAATGTTATTGAGTCATTGATAATTGGTATTATTTTATCAGTAAATTTAGTATTAGCAATTAAAGGAAACATATCTAAATTATTATAATTTACCCTTCTTTTCTAAATCAATAATTTGCCATTTTGTCTGTAGATATTAATAAATATTGATTTTCACCTTGCATGCTTAAATTTAATTGATTCAGGTGTTCAAAAATATCAGCTAAATATGCTAATTTTGAACACCAAAATTCATCGGATAAATAATCGGAATATTCCATTTGTTCCATTGTAAAATATACTAAAAGTTCTTCTCTAAGTTCATAAAAACGTGATAAAACTTGCCCTTTTGATAACCAACGTACTTTTGTATGAATAATCAATGTATAGTGATCAGATTCCATTGATTCACATAACTGGGAAAATAATTGAATTTTTTGAGGTCTACTTTTAATAAAATTTGCCATTTTTACGACTTGATCAAGTACAATCTTTAATTCATTAACAATGCTTTTTGCTACTAATGCCTCCCTGTGTAAAAAACAGTGTGTTGTGTTTATATTTGGATTTTGATTTTTGGCAATTGTAATAAATCCTTTAATAGAGCCTGTCATTGATGGCGCCCCATCTGTACAAATACTTACACAAAAAGTCCACGATATACCATAATTTTTAAAATATTTATTTATGACATCAAAAACATCTCAACCAGTTGTTGTCCCAGATAATTCTTTACAACAAAAAAACTGACTAACTATTTTTGAATTTACAATAAATCTAATAAATGCCATTAATTGAGCTTTCCCACTTATGTCTGTTAATTCATCAACTTCCAAGGCAAATAATTCTCCACTTTTTATAACTTCGATAACCTGCTCCTCAATATCCTTTGATATATTTATAATCTTACGACTAATTGTACTATCAGATAATGGTATTTTAATTATTTCTTTTTCTGCTTCGACTCCTAACATAGTCTTTACCATAATACGACAAGCTGGCATAATAAGACACTCGGCAATTAAATGAGATTTTTTTTTTTTAAGCTATCAATTGGGCGATACGAAAACTAGCTTCCTGTGCCTTATCCGAAATTTTCACTGATCTTACAAATTGTTTTGATTGTAGTTTTTTTGAATCTAATAGTCTTCGAAAATAATCAATTTGTTTATTTTGTAACGATTGATGTTTTGTGGTGAAATGGCGGGTTACCTTATTGGGAACCATTGATTCATTCGACAATTTTTCGTCACAAATAAAACAATAAGGAATAGGATAATATTCGTCGCCGACCCAAAAAATCCTAATTTTAAATAATTTTCATTGTATTGACGATATTTACCTTTGAATTTTTTAGAAGGATTTTCTTGTTTTTCTTTAAAACTTGACGATGCATTTACAGAAGATGACGAGTTTTTTTCTGTTCCCAAATTGTCTTCATCTGTATTCTCTCTTACTACTTGTATTTTTTTAATCAAAAATAATAATATAATAATATCCATTTTATTTTAATTAGTAACAAAAAAATATTGTTGTTAATAAATTAAGAAAAAGTCTATTCGACTATAGAAGTAAATGACAACTGAGCATACAAATGAAGTGAGTTATTGATACGGTGCATGTTTTCAGTATAAATATACTATACGTATTCACTGTTTAAAAATAAACGAAAATATCAAAAACCAACATTAATAAATTAAGATGACACACAATAGGCGATTCGAACGCGATTAAACGTTCAAAATGACGATAATAATACAATTTATTTTATGTCGATAGCTGAAAATCTATTTTTATTATCATGGAAATTATATCAAATACCTATTAATTTTTGTAAATAGTTAATAGTGTTAATAATGTTTTTTGTCATTTAATATTAGTACTTCACACGGCACATTTGGACTTGCTCGGCGACACTCCAGTGTGTCGCGACACACCGGTTGAGAAACACTGGCATAGATGTATGACGGTTGAAAGGAGTTTCTCCACACTTCAGAGACTAAAAACCTGGTTAGGCCTCCCCCAAGATGTACCGTATTCATAAAAAAATTTATATTGTTAACGAAAAATGCATATTATAATATGGGAAAGGAGTTTCTCCACACTTCGGAGACCTGGCTTCGTTCAATGATGTTTGAAGATAGACTATCAGCATTATGTATAATTAATGTATATCATAAAGTAGATATTCTAGATCAAATTATTGATATTTTTGCCAATTTTAAAAATAGACGACTTGAATTTGTGTTGTAAAAATTGTTGTTTTCTTTTTGTTATAAGATTTTGTAAAATTATAACTTGCCCCCTCCCCCCCTTAATCAAGGCTTTGGAGCCGCTCCTAATTTCTGGTACTTTTTGTTGTGCCTTGGTATTTAGTAATTTTTTTTTGCTCATATGCATGCATATTTGTGTATTTTATAGAGCTAGAAGCCCCTAACCTAAATAACAATCATAATAACTAACAATATTTGTTTCCATATTCTTTAACTTGCAAATATTGCCCAAAAATATATTTTCGTAAATTGAAAACATGGTTAAGATCAAGAATAGGCCAGCATAGATTAACAGGTTCGCTTTGCTTAGGGTTGCCAGATTTTGAAATCCCTAAACAGGGACACTATATCGAATGACCGAATGATGACTTTTTTTTTTTTGGTTTTATGTTCATATGGTTACGAAAATACATTATTATTGTACATGACCATACCGATTAGATAACCATATTGTAAAGTCGGGTTTGTACGACGCGAATCTGATGCGCGAGTCAAGATTCTGTATGTTTCGCCCTGTCTGAATTTGCCTCGGGTAATAGGCGAATCAAACGAGAATGCCTCGTGGCGAGCGGAAGCTTAGTCGGTATTTGGACGCGCGTCAAAGAAGATTCGTGTAGCGTGAACTACTTTGAGCGTCTTGCCTCGCGCGTAGCGCCATGGATCAAAATAATGTCCAAAATAATTTTTATGTGAATTTCAAATTTACGTCAATTTGAAAACGAATTTTACGATTTATAATATCAAAACTATTTTTATAATTAAATATGATATGATGTTTATGATAAGGGACAACGCCGTCATTTCTGGAAAAATATAAATAGTAATGTCTGTGAAATTGGTGTATTATACTATATACATCGGTTTGTTATTAATATTGGCGATCGGCTATATCGTCATTTTGGAAAAAAATAAATGTCCGTTCAACGACCATAGACTAATCTTCTAAGGCCGTGGCCCGCATTAAAGAGTAAAAATAAATAAAAACAAAAACCAAATATATGATTATATCATTCGATTTATGAGACTGCTTGATCGTCTACAATTATGTTAATTATTATTTTATTTTTATTTTCTATTGTAACATGTAGGATGTTGGTATTGCTATCAAAATATATTGTATTTGGAATTTAAATATTTGTTTAGCTGAAAAGTGGTATTCAAAATATATGTAAGGTTGGCGGAGGGGAGGGACGAAGCGCCCCACGGATATGTGTTAAATAATTGCGCGCGTAGAACGCAGTTTTCAAATCGTTGTACTGAGCTCCTCTACTTAATTTTTCCCAATTCGAGCACTGCGCATAAAAATTTAGTATATTAATTAGTTGTAGAAAATATCCCAAGTACCTAATCAACTTCATCTTGATTCGAAAGAGATAATTACCTAATATTTAGTGTCTCTTTTTGCAAACTATTCTCTAATTTTTTCGATAAGTCTCTGAAGCCGCGCCTGTAGGTACTGACTGGTTGGCTGGTGCGCATGGGGTGTGCTAGTGCTCGACGGACAGTGGTCAACCGTGTACCGTCATCGCGGGCAGGAGTTTGGGAACGGACGTCGGCACGTCATTGGGGTTCGTGCCCTTATCACTAGACTTCCACGGCAGTGTGACCAATGCGTGCGACACTATTGGCTAACACGTACCAACAGCAGCGGTGGTGGTGGTGTCGTGATTCTCATATCTGATTCCGCTGGTATCATCATCGTCGTCATGAGTCCGCGAGTTCCCGGATTTCGCCGATTCGTGGCGGGTGTCAGTGTTTGCTGTACGTAATGTTCTCGGCGCGCCGTTGACGTAATAATATTCGTCTGCGGGAATGGTCCTGAAACGGAAAACGCGTCAGCGAAAGTGCGCATGACGTTGCATACCGGAGAACGGGCCGAAGACACTGACTGAAACCGTCGGCATCCGCAATCGGTATGCGTGCCGCCCTCGTCTGAAACGAACCGGCCCCGGAACGTAGCCGACTGCTCTCCCGAACGCCGACAGCCGGCAACATGGCGTGGGCGCTGTTGATCTTGATGGTGTGCACGAACACGTTGCTGTGCCAGTGCCTCGACAAGGAAGACGTGATATTCGCAGTGAACGCCGGCGGCGACGCTCATGTGGATAGCTACGGAATACTGTACCAGAGGGATTTCAACAGGATCGGCACTGAGTCCGACTACGGCAAGAAGTTGTCCATACAGCGCGTGAAGCCCCACGATCAGATCCTTTACCAGACCGAAAGGTATTCGCATACCACTTTCGGTTACGATATACCCATCATGCAAGATGGTGATTATGTTATGGTGTTGAAGTTCAGCGAAGTGTACTTCACGAATAGCGGCTTGAAGGTACTGGTTTTGTTGCTACCGTGCGTGAGCTCCCTAGGAGAAATTTGTATATTGTGTTCTGTATATTACCGTCTTGTTGTTTTCAGGTATTCGACGTTGTATTGAACGGTCAACATGTTGTGATCCCACAGTTGGATATTTATGATAAAGTTGGATTTAGTTCCGCTCATGATGAATATATTGAATTTACAGTAGACGGCACATCATTATATTGGAGAGGAGAGATTTCCGAAATTAAAGGAAATCTTGTCAGAGTTGATTTTATTAAAGTATGCAATTTAAATTAATTAATTTAAAGTAGGAGTTATTAATTTTTAGGACCAAATATTAGTTAAAAATTCTTATAGAATGTTATCACCTGCTTTAATGAGCTCCACTATAGACGAACAGGAATTATATTTAAGAGTGACCAATTTTCTTTACTTCGGTGGTATTTCAATTTTTTTTTTATAATATACATATTTTTCAACAATAATTTTAAATTGTTGTAAATTAGGTATATACATTTTAATGAATTAACATTTAAATAAATAACTAATTAAGTAAAATCATTACATATATTTATAGTATTAAGTCTTTATCATTCATAAAACTATACAAAAAAAAAGTATTTAAGGGTCAAATTATTTTCAATGAACATTTTGCGTGATCCAAAGTCCGCCACAACTTCTCATCTATACGACAGCTTTTTTACTATTGATATTTAAACATTCATTGTATTTGGAAAGTGATTGGTCAATTTCCAAATGATTATGATTGGCTCTGTACAAAACTAAATATTAATATTAAATTAAAATTATATATATTAGTATTTTGTTTTTATTCGCAATAAGGTTGATCTTTGGTATCAGTAAAATTATTTGTGATTATTAAACTTATTATTTTCATCATACTTAATTATTATCTTTATTATATATGTTATGTGTTTAAAGACGTTCAGTGTAAATAATATAAACTTATATTTTTAGGGTGACCGCGATAATCCTAAAGTAAATGCAGTACTTGTAGCAAAAGGCAGGATTTCAGGTAAACATAAATTAAGTTTATATTATATTTTGTATAATTACTTATTGCTCCATTTATTTATGTTATTATTTTAGATATACCAAGATTGCCAGATTTGTATTCCGATATTGAACCACAACAACATGATGAAATTGAAGTTGAAGAAAATACTATTATTAATGACAGCAAAGACCCTGTAAAGATAGTTCAACATACTAGAAATCCAAGTGGTCCTAGAGCACCTGATCCACAAGATGTTAACTCCATGAAATTAATGCCAATATTTGGAGCTCTTATTGCCTTTTTTGGAGCACTTCTTCTACTTTGTAGACTCTGAAGAGTTATATATAAATATATAATTTTGTATTTTTTTCTTTTTTAATTTTTATTTTTTTAAATTACAAAACCAAAATTGTTCAGTATTTTTTTTTATATATTATTATCAATGTAAAACAAACATAAATTGCACACATCAATATTGTTACTGTTACTTAATTTGTATTACAGTTGTATATAAAACATTTATTTTTAGTTTTTGCTTAATAGAAATTAATTATTCATTTCTGGAAGCATAATTTGTACTTAAATCGACTGAGCAATTAGATCTGTTAATTATGCTTTGTTTAAATTATAAAATTGGGAGGGGTTATTGTAGTTTTTTAAAGACTGTTGTTTTTATTGTACACACATAAAATTAATGATAACAACAAAACCACTATTGTGTAATATTACAAATATTGATAAATTGAGAATTGTATAACTGTCATAAATGTTTAACTGTATTAAAGCAATAGTTAGGTGTTTGTTATTAATACACTTGTTTGTTATTAAATTTACATTTGAAATACAATCAGACAATATTTCCATCATAAACCCACTAAATATAATATGTTAAAATTGTAAATAGAAGTATTTACTTCCTTGTTGATAATTTACATTATATCAGGAAATGTTAAATGCCAATTCATTTTTTGAAAATTACCAGAACAATAAAATTTTAAACATAAAAATTCTTTATATATGTATATATACACATACATGTATATGTACATAAATTATATAATAAATTATAACATACAACAAAATGTTGATAACATGAAAAATATTGTAATATTTCCGCGAAAATTAAATATCACAATTTATTAAAACAATATAAGGCGCGAGCAAAAAATGACTTAGATTCTTGACTAGATACCGTTCACTTAATTCATGAAATTATACTAAATGGAATGTCAGCAATATAATTGCTAATATATTTTCTAGGAAGGTTAAAATAATAATAAAATTATGGAAATAGTTAGTTTACACTCCAAAAACATTTGACTAGGAGTTAGATAACTTATATGTTAATTGTTAGCCTAATGGTTATTGCACTATAACAAATCACATAAGTATACATAAAATTAGTTCCCAGTTAGTGGCTCAGCAAATGGTGAGTCGTGCACGCTGATGACACTATCCGTATCGGAATTGGTGGAAAACGGCGTTAGTCTTGTGTATGGGATAGGTCTTTTTCTCGCACTACAAAATAATTTTCAACCGTTATTGGACATTTCATCGCAGAATTTAAAATATGAGATGAAAATGAAATTTCAATATTTACCAGCTTGAAAACAAAAAAAAACTGCCAAAAATCAAAATTTTACAAATCTAAATAAAAAAACAAAAAAAAGAACAAAAAATAAATGAAATAAAAACACACAAATTATAATTTAGCTATAATGCATAATTTATCTGAAAGCAACAAAAATCAGCATTATGTTTCTGGGAAATAAAAACCTAAGTGCACATGATTTTCTTAGTTTTGTATATTTTCATTTCCTACAAGCAATGTTTCAAATAGGTGTATATGTTGTCTACTTTTCCAAGTGATGCGTGAGGATGTACAATAGTATATTGTTTGAATCACAAGAAAAAAGAAAAAACATTCAAAATATATTATATATATACATACATATATATATCATTTTATTTTGTACGATTTAGTATTCTAAAATTCATTTTTATTTACATTTTTCAATGGAGAAGAAATAAAAACACAGTAAAAATTGTTTGAGAAATTAAAATCGTACAACTTTTTTTTATTGTAATGATAAAGTATTTTATATCTACATGGTCATGCATAAATTAAACATAATCTACCAAGAAAAAATAATAATTATAATAAAAGTCAACTTAAGCACATAAGGGTGGCAAAATAAAAATAAAAATAATAATAGTTAAAATAATCTTTAGTTCTGCTGATATAATATTGAATTAGCAAAAATAACTTAGACCTTTTCATAAATCAATGGCTCATTATATTATATGATAAAATATAATAAATGTAAGAAATTATGATTTTTATAGCGAACCATAATTTATTGAATATAATTAATTTTCCAATTTGCTATAAAACAAGGATTTGCCATAAATTTACAAAAAGGTTGTATTTTACACACACTGGACAATATTTATACAAAATACATAAACTGATTGATAGCCTGATACCTGTGTTCCAGTCTCATCATCCAAATCGTGATTCAAGCATAATTTAAAATGAGATAGGAACATAATTTTACTATTTTATTTGAGGATTTGAGTAATTAAAATATTGAACATATTATATTTTGTATAGTTTAAACATTTTATGGAATTGTTTAACTAAGATATATTTGATTAAAAATAAAATCGAAAGTATAAAACACACGGTGACATTAAAATTTACCTTGTAATTCGTCTTCGATCCAAAAAACTAGGCGACCCTCGTCGCCTAGGTATAGATGCAGATCGAGACTTTGAACTACGGCTAGATACAGAACTGCTAGAGTCATGGCTAGAACTAGAACTGCGAGAGTAATGACTGCTTGATGAACTACTTGTAGAACGTGAAAGACTTGAGCTATAACGTCTTTTTTTTTTATAAGACGATGATGATCTACTGCTGCTACTACTGCCACTGCTCCTTTGTCTTCGAGATGAATGTTTGCGTTTGAAAGATTTTTGCTTACGTCTAGGACTTGATTCCTCACTTGAAGAAACTCGTTTTTTCCGTGAACGTTCATTAGAGCTCAAAGATGCAGATCGTGATCGAGACATACTACCTTTAGTGCGATGACTCAATAAAGGTGATTTTTTTTTAGAATACTTGTCACTTGAGTGTAGTTTTGTTGATGTTTTATGATGGTCAATACTTGTGTCACTTGCACTACTGCTGCTACTAGAACGTGAGCGTTTGGATTTTTTTCTTTTATATATATCACTGAAAATATATAATAGTTATTTAAATTGAAATTATAATTGAAGAACAATATAAATTCATAAATATGGTTTAGTAGTATTAGAATAAATATTGTATACTATAAAATGTTTTTATAAATAAAAAGAAATATTTAACATACCTGATACTGGACGAAGAATCTCGAACATGTTTCCGCTTAATACTTTTTTTTTTGACAGGCTCTGCATCTGAACTGTCACTTGAACTGGAAGAAGTTCTTACTTTAAGTTTTTTCTCCATTAGTTTCTTTTTTAGATGGAGCAATGCTTGCTCTTGTTTTTCATGCAACTCAAATACTTTTTTAATTTTTTCTGTAGTGATTTCTTTAATAATATTTAAATCAATATCTTCTTCTAAATCACCTACTTCACTTGAACTAGACTCTAAAAATACTTTATCTATTCGATCATTAGAATTTTGAGACTCAGATTTTTTATGTTGATTTTCACTATCATTTGATGTAGGTTTCTGTTTTAGATTAGGATCTGTTTGGCCATTAGCTTTTGTTACTACTAAGCGATCTTCACTATCTTCACGTAATGAAAATGTGTATTTGGTATTCTTTACATTTTTTTCTTCATTAGTTTTTGATTGACTTGATTTAGTATACTTAACATTCATATTCTTGGGAGGTGGTGTATAACATGATTTATCACTATCAGAAGATATGCAAGTTAATTTTTCATATTGAATAATTGGTTTTTTCAGTTCTTTAACAGGAGTTAAATTCTTTTTTTTATAACTGTATTTTGAATCAATTCTATCAGATTTTTTATCAGATTTATCTTTATTTGATTTACTATTATCACTTTTTCTTTGTTTATAGGAATATTTATCTCTATCTCGTTCTTTTACTGGTGTTTTATGCCTAGGTGAATGATCTTGTTTTTTAGTTTCATAAATATTCTTATTAGATTTTGATTTATGCGATTCTTCAGTTATTTTATCTTTTCTTGAGCTTTTAGAATTATCTGATTTAGAATCTTTTTTACGATATTCTTCACGATCACTTTTATATTTATTTTCTACTTCTTTTTTATCATAATCTTTAGAGTGCTTTTTATGGTTATTTTCAGGCTCTTTTTTTTTATTATTATTTTCAGCGATCACTTTATAAGGTTTATCATCATCATACTTAGATTTTACTTGAGAAGAATTTTTGCTGAGTTTTGATTCATTTCTATAAAATATATAAATATAATAATAGTAATTCAATATAAATGATTAATGACTTAAAAACTCAATCCAATCATAAGTTACAATTAACCAACGTTTTTCCAAAAGTTATTAATTTATTATTTAATTTTTTAATTAAATTATAAATTAGTAATTATTAAAATCAAAAAAATTAAAAAATATAAAATGTGAAAAAAATTATACATTTAACTTGGAACTCAAAATGGTTTCAATCCTTAAAAATCCAATTTCAAAACATTCATTCATAATAAGCCTACAAATAGTAATAAATATATTACCTCAAAAATAAATCTACAAGGTAGTTTTGTTTTACACTCGTCTGTAAGCGAGCGAGCAGTAAACATTTTAAATATGTAAGATTAATTCTCTTACCTATTTGGACTATCTTCTGAAGACGAATTGTGTTTTCTTTTATGTTTTTTTGATTTTTTCTTGTCATTTCCCTTTTCTCTGTAAAAATGATAAATGTATAAATAATTTTAATATTGATAGTTAATTTCAATATGTAAAATTATTTTATATAATATAAAAAAAAAAAAAAAAAATGTTCAAGAATAAAAATTATCCTGCCATTTTTTTCTGGAAATCAATGTCAAAAATAATTTTTTAAACAATCTAGGTCTGAAAAAATATTTTAGATGTTTAAGAAAAAACAATTAAGTAAATATTTTAATAATAAAGACAATTTGACTAATTTGTTTAAAATAAAGATATTTTATTTTTTAAATAATAGCCGAGTTGTTAAATTGTGTATATAGTTTAATAATTAAAACAAAATTTAAGATAAAAAATAATTTTATTGTAACAATTACTTTATAAAAAAAATAGTAAAATTCTAAATAGTTCATAACAAAAATCTAAAATTTTACTCATTCTTAAGTTATTAAAAATGTAACAATATAAATAACGATTTGTAAGTACATAAAAACAATGAAAAATTATTTCATTGTAAGTAATTGAATAAAATAATTTTCTTATCGTATTTTAAATATGAAATAAATAAATATAATATATATTGAGCAAGAGAACTGCGTTTAGTTGGTTATTAAAATAAAAAGAGTAATATTATTACAATAATTATTATTTAAATTTTACATTATATGTGAGTATAGCAGAATATGACTGTATGGAAAATCACACCAAAACAAAAATTACTGAATGGAAAACATAATAACTTACCACTATTTAGTTTAATATCCTTTAATCAGTTTAACTAAACAGTAATCAACAAATTGCCTAATTAAAAAAATAGTTTTCATTGGGTATCTAAGTGAATGAAAAAATTCATAAAGCTACTTTCTATAAAATGATGATCAAAGGTTTACATAGATAATTGTAATTTATCAAAACTAAAATGAAAAACAGATTATTACATAAAAAATCAAAATTAATCTTTGATCATCAGCTTAGTGGCAAAAATGTACTTTTCCAAAAATCCATCAAATGTACTAATAATTAACTAGAAAAATTTAATCACATACATACTTGTCAGTTTTATGAGATTTTGATTTCTTTTTCTTTCGTTTTTTGTGTTTAGGACTTTTAGACCTTAAATTAAAATATTAATAAATTATTATATACTTATGATACAAATGTTTTAAATTGTATGAAATATTTAAAGTAAGGAAATAATTATTCTTACCGTAATTCATTTGTTATATTGCTGTCTTTATTTGTTGAGGTGTCATCATTCAATTGTGTTTGTGCAACTGTTTGATTCACCTGTAATACCTGTAATGCCTTTAACTGGGCTAGTGCTGCTTCTTTTGTTTTTCTTTCTGGATCTAAACTAGAACCTTCAATAAAAAACTCTGATATACCAAAGGCGTCTCTAAGTCTTGCATTCTTTTTTAATTGTTCATCAGCAAATTGATGAGTATCCTTTAAACTGAAAACAAAAAAATATGTTAACCCTTTATATAGAATTATATAAAGATTGTTTTCATTATATAGAATGAAATATTCTTAAAATAATATACAATTAATATGACAAAAACCTTAATATTCATTCTTATTTAAGGCAGGTATATAATTAGTTACTTAGCATAATAAGTTAAGAGAAGTAGAATGTACATATATTGAAAAAAATCTAATTAAGATACCTTAAAAATGATTTTAAGCTATTAATATTAGCAAACTGCATTCCATTAAGGCAAATAGTATTTAGACAACTCCATGGCATATGATGAAGAAATAATGTACCATTAGAATTAAAATTTGATACTGAACCAGTGATATTGTTTATTCCATCTGTACAACATTCACAAATATTCTTTTTTTTTTTTTTTCGACGACGCCTGGATCTTTTCTTTTTTAAATTAACATTGACTTGTTGAAAAGATTTTGTTTCAGCCATTATCATGGCATTAGTTGGATTTTTTAATACAGATTTTAAGGTTTGTTTCCATACACGCTTAAAACATTGTTGTTCGACATTATTTGAATTGGACATGTTATTAATTTAGAATAAAAGTAAGTAAACAATATATCAAATTAAATCTAATTATAATACAAAATACTTGGAAGATTTTTCTTATAATATATTTAACTAAATTATTTAATGGAAGACTCAAGTTACTAATTAAAATATTAATATCACATTTAATATATTTTGGAAGACATAGATGTTTATATATAAATTTAGTTAAATCATGGTGGCTTATACTGTGGTTTCTTCATGATTTACATAATAAATTTAGATTATTATTGAAACACAAACTATACACATTATAACTTAAAAAAATTACACAACAAAAATAAAATATCTACATATATAGTGACTCATCTCCACCACTACCAGTACTGTTTACTAGTGGGTGGTGCCAATGAACTGATGGCAAGGAAAGGGTGGGTTCAAGTATTGATCCACACAGGGATGCAATGTTAGTGGAACTTATATACAGTGATTATATAAATATATTTTTTTTTTATTCGAAGAAGTACAATTAAATTTTTAATCAACATTTTAAATAATTTTAAGCAATATTAATTAAAAAAAAAAAAAAAATTATATTTTGATTAAAAATTTCATAAACATTTATATGTTTATATTTATTTATTAGTATAACCTAAATACAATTTAATGAGTCGAAAACAAGAATAAATTTAAGTAAATATTAAACTATAAAGATATAATTTTAAATGTAACAATGTTATCAAGTAAAGATCCAACATATTTTAATAGTGAATAATAAAAAGTTCTCTAAATAACAAAAAAAAAAAAAACTATTTAAACTTTAAGCCCTACATATTGAATTAAAGGATAGAAATGTGGTTATTTAATAGGGATTCATTTATACTTTAAACATATATATATATATAGTTAAGATGATATACTTATTTAAGTTAGTTAAATACACAATTTTAAGTACTTAAAAGCAAAAATAAATTTTTAAACACTAACAATATAATAAGATGAAATAGATACTAAGATACAATTTTCAATAATTAAATTTATTTTTGTATGTACTTACATAGGTCTACCACATTCATCATATTCAGTACCAGACTTTTGTTTGCCTAGCAATGTAACTCTAAAATTATTGATTTTTTTGATAATTTCATCTTGAGAGTAACTATAAAAATAAAATACAAATAGTTAATAGTTGAAGCTAAGCAAAATATTTATTCATAATGTATTAATACCCTTGGTCTTCCAATGACTGTTCAAGTTCAATGCATTTCAACTCGACTTTTCGCTTGCGATCATGGTCCAACAGCTCTTGGTTAGGCTGACGGTTGGCAGCCGAATCAATTTTGGCCAGTTCCTCTTCGGTCTTGAACGATGTCTGATCCTTGACTTTCCTAATGACAGCCCAGTTGCGCTGCACATAGCCATTGGTGCCCGAACCACGGGCTGTGGCCAAACCGATTCCATTATACATGGTCTAGGGAAAAATTACAAAACGTAGTCAGTCCCGTGTAATACACCTAATAGGTACCGCTAATGCAACAATAACGACAACAGTACCTGCTCACGATTGTGAAACCTCAATTATAGCGTTTCTACAATTGCCGTGTATAGTAAATCAACATCGTTATTTATCATCATCGCGTACGAACGGAAGGTGAGAAAACGCGAAATGAAGAAAGAACGCACACGATTCGCGACGACCGCGAAAAGTGCCCAACAAAATAATAGCACAGCACGCACAAGGCACAACTAGCGCTGGTTTTTATTTTTTTTTCTCTACAAAGCGAATCGAGGTATAACTAACGGATGACAACTTGGATATTATCAAAATTATCATCACGTTGGTACTATAGAACAGATTGGAACGGGCACTCTGTTTGGTGATAGTGCAGTTCTCCCATATTGATAAAAGCCAACTACTGTTCTTGCCTACAAAACTACAATTCCGACCACGATTTTCAATTTATTTATTGATTTTGACTATTAAAAATAATTATTATTCTAAAAATACAGTAATATATCAAATACATTTCATAATTATTTAGTCATTTATTAATTAACCGTTAATTGTTCAAATGTATTAATATAAATAATTAATGTATTAATAAATATGATTTAATATATAAATTCAAATAGACATATAATAAATAATACTGCAATATTTTTCTATAATTATAACTGGAATAAAATATAAAAAGATGGATTGAATAAAACATTAAGTAATTTCAGATTTTTTTTTTTAGCATAAGGCTTTCGGTATAGAATAAACAAAATTAAATAAATAAATAATAGTAATAATAATAATTAATAAATAAATAAATAAAAGTAGATAGCTAAAAACTAAGAATTTGGTATCTGTTAAGTTGACTCATACACAAATATCTATATTTTCCAGCCATTCAGTCGCATTTTCTCCACCTATTTCAGATTAGTGGGTAATTTCACAAATCGATTTATCTAATTTTGTATAAATATATTAATTAATATTACAGTGTTAAAAGAAAACATCTTTTTTTTAATGCCAATTCGTCAAATACTTGATTACTTCCAATACGATATTTCTGATTGATTGTTAACCCATTAAGTCTTTTCTAGAGAGAATAATTATAAATTAATTACATTATTAATTATTATCTTATCTTAGTAAATTAAAAAATAAACCTGCTTAGCACATAGTATTTCGTAGATAAGTCTTTATCCTTTTAATAACGAAAATTATCATTCGTTTTATGCAGTTGATGCAGAATCAGATTAGAGATATACATATATACATTAATGAATTTTCAAAGCAATAGGTATTAAAATATTTTATAATTTTGTCAACATTATATCGTAAAACTTCAATAAATGAAAAGGCTCTAAAAATAGAACCATGGGGGGGGGGGGTTGTTTCAACCCCCGTAAATACGCTACTGGTCGCACGATAATAATACAACTCATAAAGTAACTTTTAGCCCACGACAAAATGTCTCACATTCTGTACAGCGACCTGTGACATATGTAGAACTTACCTACGATACACATCTTAAAGGTTGCAGACCGTAGACCCTATTCTGTTACAGAGACCGACGAAATCCCGGCCCCAGCCAGTCACGTAAATAGATGTTTTTCGGGAGGGGGTGATTAAATTTCTACGAAATTATTGGAGCCTAAATAATGTGGTGTTTTGTATCGCATATCTGATTCGTGGTTATTGCAATACGAATTTTGAGGAAGGGTGATTGTTTCAATGGCTCCCCCTAAATTAGGTGCATGGCCTACGACCCTCAATCGGCACATTTGATAAGCACTAACCGGACGCCGGGGTGACGTCAATCAGTATGCATGAATCAGAGAGTAATAAAAATATTAATATTCATTATTAATATTATTATAATGATGATTAATTTATTATTTTTTTATTAATTATTATTTAGAACATTCTTATTAATCAGTGGCGTGAACTAGAGATGTCAAGTTCGTGAACGAATAGTTCAAATTAACTATTCACTTTGATGAACTATTGAACTATTGAAATAAAATAAATATTAAACTATTGAACTATTCTGACCGGTTTCAGTACCTGTAATCTAACTGTTCACAGTTTAAAAAATATATCGGTAGCATTGTGTATTATAAACTGTAATATAGTTCGTGAACTTTATATTATGTTTTTATTATTTACCATAAGTCTATTAAATTAGTTGTTCAAAATCCCGAAACAGCTGTTTGTAATGTTTGCATTACAGTTATTGTTCATGAAAATAATTTTGTCAGATATTGCCATAGAATATAAAGAAATAAATATTGAATATATAATTATATATATATTATTAAATTAATCTGTATACATAGTGTGGTTTCGACATGTTTCTACATTGAAAATCATTTGATGTTATTATAGATATTTTAATTTACTCATTTAATTTAGTCATAGATCTTATAGAGTATAAGGTCTATGACTAATTGTAGGATCTACTAGCAGTGAAAAAAAAATATTTCATATCGTTTGTGAAATTAAATTGTACAAATCATTTAAACTAGTGAACTTGATGAATTATGTGAACTAATAGATATTTGAATTGTTAATTTCAGTGAATTGTGAACTAATGAACTTTTCCTTAAAATTAACTGGAAATTCCTTCTTTAGCGTAAACACGAGTGCTTCAAACTAGTGAATGCGGTTGGCATCCGCGTTACTGCGCACGCGCTAGGATTTCAGATTATCCGCGACTCGGCACCGTCAGTGCATGCGAAATCATCATTTCATATCACATAATCTTATCATAATTATCATTATTTTCAAAGCAAGAAAGCTATATTTATTTTATGGTAGTTTACTTTTTTAATTCATTCAGTTAAAAAGGTAAAAATTCAAGAGTGTCTTATTTCAATTTGTGGTGTTTTTGTACTAAATAAAATCTACTAGAGTGTGATATGTTGAGTAAAACAGCAATATTTAGAGTTGTGTCAATATTACATTTTAGAACTCTATTAGAAAAAAAAAATTTAACTTCTAATGCTCATAAAAAATTGTTTGACTTTCCAGTTTAATGTAGGAAAACTTATGAGGAATCTTTTATTATTTAAATAATATAAATAATAAAATAATAATGATAATTATGATGAGATTATGTGATACGAGATAATGATTGCGTGCGCACTGACGGTGCCGAGTCGCGAATAATCTAGTTCTAGCGCATGCGCAGTAACGCGAATGCCAACCGCATTCACTGGCGTGAAGCACTCGTGCGTGAACGGGTTACCTTCGGCTTCGAGTGCCATTTCTAGGTTATAGTCATAGATAATGCATATGTATTATCTATGGTAACAGCACAGAATAGTTCTTCTACCATTTTGTGGTTATAATGTTAACGATGTCTTATCACAATACGTTTGGACTGATAACGAAGTATGAATGGGTAATGCTTGCGCGTTGTGAACCTTAACTGTGAAACGTATTATCATCGACCGGAAATTTGTGAGCCGGGCGTTAATTACATTGTTGCTACTTGTGCACTCAAAATTTTCAATCCGGATCGTTGGACGTTGCTTATAACGGGGCATGAATCTGTGAACGTTCTTAGTCTAGTGCAGTGTACCTGAAGATTGTGGAAAAAGTTATTCGACATGTTGCTAAGAAGTTTGAAGCTGCATATAATTCAGTGTGGATTCGCGCCGGGTAATGTTTTGGCTGTGTGTGGTTTTCGAACGCTCGATATTAATCAACCGTTACCTCCCAGTAGTTCTTCAGGTGTCCAGAACGTGCAGCAATATGCCACTGTCTGACACTCATCAGTCTCCGGACAATGCTGTATCTGGAAAACAAGTAAAATCTGAGAGGAAATTAGTCGTTCCTTCCAACAGCAGATTTATTTATCCGGAATTTCTGCCTGATCCTAAAATGGAATGGCGGAACTCATTACGAGAAAAACTGGAGCGCTTAGACATGATCCAAAGAAGAAAACATATTGATATACCTGAATTTTATGTTGGTAAGCATTAAAAACGAGACTGTGTTATATACACAAAATATGATTTTTTTTGAACGAGCAACCCTCTTTTAGAAAAATTATTAATTTTTTTGGAAAAATCAGTTGAATTAAGTAATCAACTTTAGTGTTAGAAAAATTATTTTTTAATTTGTTGAGGAATGTTGTTTTACCATTGTGCATAAATTCCACAATGCAATTTCATATACATTAGTAATTACTTTGTATTTTGTAAAATTCATGTACAGTAGAACCTCGATAAGTCGAAAAAAAATTCTGTTCCTTTGCATAAACCTTGATTATTCAAAAAAAAAAAAAAACCATAGATAACTCAAACATATTGTGCTCCGAATATAGACGGATAATGACGGATAGCTTTATAAACATTTATCTAAATGTTCCGATGACTTTTTTCTAATTGCGTTTTTTGTGTTTATTATCGTATGTATTTACTAACCTCAGCACACAACAGTATTTTTCATTTGTATCAGTATTACCAGTAGTGCTGGAGCTAGAGGAGGACAAATGGGCCATTTGTCCAGGGCCCTGTGTTTGTTAAAGAGCCCCTGTGATTTTAAATTATCATCTTAATACCATGAGACACATTGAAATTTTATATCCTAAAGGCTAATGTCCAGGACCCCGCAATACCTAGCGCCGGCACTAATTGCCAGTTGCTACTTAAAAACTTTAATACATACATACATTTTAAAAACTCTTTAAGTCAAATTTTTTTTCTAAAACCTTGGTAACTCGAAAATCTTAGCAAGTTGAAACCTCAATAAGTCGAAAAAAATTGCATTTCCCTTGAATTGTGACTTATCGAGGTTCCGCTGCACATGAAAAATAGATAGTTAATATCCTATTAACCCTTTTTTTTTTTTTTAGGTAGCATTCTGGCTGTTACATCATCTAACCAACATGCTCCAAATAAAGCAACTCGTTTTGTTGGTATATGCATTCAACGACTAGGTTGTGGTCTTAGAGCTAATATAACACTTAGGAATGTTATTAAGCATGTTGGTGAGTGAATATTTATGGTTCAGATACTTACAGTTAATTTTAAGTATACTAAAGTAAAATTAAATTATTTGATAAACAGGTACTGAAATAAAGTATCAACTTTACGATCCTACCATACAAAAGATTGAAGTTCTACGTTTAGAAAAACGTCTTGATGATGAATTATTATATTTACGAGATGCTCCAAATGAATACAGTACTTTTGATGAAAATATGGAAGCTGAGTATTTACCTGAAGGTACACCAGTACCAGTTAACACTACACTAGTAAAATCCATTATATTTATTAATTTATTAGTGAGTTTTCAAAGTTATTTCTATTACATTTTTATTATGTTTGAATTAGGTGAAATTAAAACCAAGGCCTTGGCGTGCTAGGTGGGAAAGAAAGAATATGAAAGGACTTGCTGATTTAGAACTAGAAGAGCGATTTTATAAAAGAGCTGAGGAATTAGCAACACCATGGGAGAAATATGATTTAATGAAACAATATAGGTAAAAATAGTTTTTACAGAAATCTTTGTTAATTAATCTATTATTTATATATGTATACATTGTTTATAGGAGAACCATACCAGAGGAAGAACAGAAAGAAATATTTGCTGAAGTTTGTTCAGAACTACATGAAGTTGAAGTTATGCGCAAGAAGCTAAAACGAAAAAAAGTTTTTGTAAAGCCTACAAGATCTTCATAGAATTCAAATTGTAATAATTTACCTATAATACTAATATAAAGATTTAATCTTTATTAGTAAATATTCTTTCATAAGTAATACAAAAATGTATTTTATATCAAGAAAAAATTTCGATTATGTTATGCAGTAACAGAAAATTAGTACTCAAAAATAGTCAATTTTAAATTCATTAAGTGAACGATATATATATATATTTTTTTTTAGATTGACACATGCTTAATATGAAATTTGACTCAATATTCATACATTATTAGAAATATAAATTATGAATGTTGAAAACTATTCTATATACATAATTTAAGAATTCTTTATTTGTAATTTTATGACATTACATTTTTGATAAATCTATTTTTGAATTAATTTAATTTCGTCAAACAATATAATATTTTTCATAGTATTAATTAGTTATAGCATTGATTATAGAATATGTATATGTTACGGGTAGAATATGAAAATGTTAACATTACCTATCCATATGGGGTAAAGTAAAAATATTATTTGTAAAACGTTTATTTTATACATTAATCAGATAATTTTAACATTATTTTGTTGTGGATAAGTGTTTTGATAAAATATAAATTTTATATTATGATAAATTGTGTGCATTATAATAATTATAAACTTCAGTACGGTACTATCGGTTTTCAATTTCTCTAATTTGGCTTATTAAAATTTGATTATTTATTTTATTAAAATTTAAAATCTTAATAAAGAGATATTTTATGAGAGTTTTAATAAATTAATGAAAAAAATAAGAATTCGGTGCATTTAACGGAATTAAAAAATTATGACATATTATTTGAAATAAGAAATAAAAAAGTTAACTGAAAAAAAATCATAATAAGCCATCAATATATATTTTAGAAATGTTGTAAAAAAAATTTTTGTATGAAATAGGTAATGCATAATATATTTCTGGTGGTCAAGATTTTAAAAAATGTTTAACAAATAAATGTATGAGTGTTTACGTTTGTAAATTTGGTAGGATGCTTTGCAACTTCAAATGCCACCTGATTTTAAACTCTTCCAATAAATTAATATATTTATTTTTTCATACATAAAATAATAATTTAATAATACTTAATCAACTTTATAAATTATTTGTTTTTGGATTAATATGATTTGATTTGATTTTCTACTTTATACTTTGTCCTTAGCATACAAGATAATGTGTACATTAGCTGGATAAAGTACGAATTGTACATATTTAAGGTGGATAATGTATACATTATTCTGATAATATGGATAATGTTTACTTTACCCAGATAATGTGTACATTATCCATTTTTAAACTCTATCCATAACATATATGCTTATTCTATAATCAATGGTTATAGGAATAATATAAATGTAGAAGTCATGTGTATAAACAATTTACTTGGTTCCAATTACTCTAAATACTATTATTTAATTATATTGCATGGATGTCAGTTAGAAAATAAATGGGTATGTAAAGTAGTAGTACTCTTAAATACTATAAAGTTAACTTAATATATTTCTAATATCAAATGAAATAGGTACCTATAATTTAAAACTTATTTAAATTTATTTAATCTACATACTTACAGATTTTGAAGTAAAAAATAATTGTCTATGAATAATTGACTTGAATGGTAATATAAAGTAACTGTATAAAATTATTTTTATTTGATGAGTACCTTATAAAGCTTAAAGATTATTTTAAAGTAATTAATGTATAAAGTATCGATGATATCGAATCAATTTCAATAAAAGAGAATGTATTTATTCATTTGTTTAAATATATATTGTTTACTCAAATGTGATCAAACAATGAAAATTCTTGTTTTTAATATTTATTACTATAGCAAGTAAATTCAAGCACTGAATATTCATCATAAAAATTATTTTAATAGTTATTTTTATGAAAGATAATATTTTTCATTTTTTAAACACACATTATTTTATTTGAAAACAATAATTTAGTTTTAAATTAACTAACTTTTTTATTCTTTAAAAGTAGGTCCTAAAATATGATTTACCAAAATGTTATTAATAACTATGTTAAAGGTGAAATGTTTTTAAAGACAATACCTATTCAATAAAGTTTTACTAATTGCAGTAACTTTGTTGTAATTTTGGTTTTTTAATAACTTGCTTAGTCGCCTCGAGGCTAATATATTCTAGGTCATCTTTACTTATACTTATTCGGCTAAGATATTCATACTGCTGCAGTATAATACTAGTATTTAAATTAAATAATACGCGAATAAAAAAATCATTGAAAGTACTTGGTTTGATTAAAATATTTTATTAATCAAAGAAAAAATGAAATCATTATGCCAAAAACACAGTAATACTTATAGCCACAATGTTCATTTAATCCTATATTATTTAATACACTGCACACGCATAAAATCAAATAGTATTATTTCACTTCTGTATATTAAATTATTATTTAATTTGTTTGCATGATACGTCGGAATGATGGGCCTTGGAGCTCAGGCCTTTCCTCCCCACCTCCCAGGCTTTGTGCATCGTTAAATTAATTTCAAAATGAGTATAATTAATGTTTCCGTAGTAAAAATGAAAAATTAAATTTTTTTAACTTAACTATTTATTTATACAATTTAAAGATAGCAAATTTACTTAATTTTATATTCTTAAAAATGGTAACACAATTCAATTGATACTTAATTTAAACATTTTTTTAGTTAATACCTAACAATTTATAATTAAATTTATAACATAATTTATGTGTTTGCAATAGGTTCTCAAGATCAAAGTACTTATCATCAAACTAATTAAAAATGTATTTTTATTTGATACAAATATTTTCTGTAAATTAAAATCAATTAAGCTTATACTGAAAGAACTTTAAAATTTGACTAACATGATCTATTGCTAATCAATAAAATCTAATTTAACTTACAAAATCTATACATTTACTAATATAATGTTAAATTGCATGTTATATAAATATTATTACAACAACGTGGATCATAAAACGTTTTTATTTTAATATTTATTTTAGAGTTACAAACTTAGATGGAGTGCAAATGATGATTGAGGTGGAACTTTTGGTGGAGCAAACTGAACACTGAAATTTTAAGATAACAATGCTACCAATGAACTTAAAATGTTAGTATTTAATATAAAATTATAAGAGCGGCAAAAAATTATATCCACTGTTTCTGAAATAACATGATTTGTTGATACATGTGTATTTGTATTTTTACATGTAATTTGCAATGTATCAAATATTTTCTGTGAAAATATAAAAATGTGTATAATAACAATGAAAATATTTCGTCATCAAATGTAAGGATTGTGGTGTGTTATATTCCACGAATGGGTATGGTTCCATGATTTGATACATTTAATTCGGCTTTACCGAGAATCGAACTGCCCTTCGGTCGGCTATCCTTCGGGGAAGGAAAAAAACAACCTTGGTCCTGGAGCTTACACGTACACCAGAGCCGCGTGTTATAATGTTTGTTATAATATAATAATATTACAGTTTGTTAAAGTTGTTCAATACTAACTTTGCTGTTCGTTCACCGTCGCGGCCGGAGGTGGCGGTTTAAACGGAAAACCGAATAGTCGTCTAAAACGTTGCCCGGGGACGTAAGCTTCGGGCAAGCGATTTACCTTTGAACCCCATAAAATCCCATCCACCGCGGCTTTGCCGGTATTTAACTTTTGCGTCTTAATAACTCGGCGCGCGGAGCGTTAGTTTCGCGCAATAAAAGCGAATACCACGTAACCAGAGACTGCTGTAGGTGATGTGTGCATAATAACATATTGTACTCGATTCGAACCGTGCACTGGTGCGCCTCTATACACGCGTCGTATATTATTGTAAAACGTATTTCGTTTGGAGAAACGCTGCTCTCGCGACGGATCAACGGAACGCAATACGTACGTGCACATTAATCCGTTTCGAAACGCCCGTTTGCCTCAGTTGTCGCGTAATTTTTCAACAACCTATGTAGGTAGGATATAGCTGGTCAACGAAACAAATTGGCTGTGGTAGCGTGTCGTTATTATCGGTGTTCAAACTGGGGGAAATTAATTAGGGGAGCTCAATACAATGGTTATATAAACCGAGTCTCAAGAGCAAAATTACTTAACGGGTAGGCCACGGAGCACATCGCGTTTCCTCAGACGAAGTATTATTCGTACGTAATAATATTATAATGTAACAGGAAATGTCTCTCTTGAAGGTATCGAAAATGAAAAACGAACTAGTGCTCGTATATTGATTCTATATTTGTATAATTATTTTAGGTCCTACTACGTATAGCAATGAAATTACGTATAAGAATCGTGCGTGTATGTAAAACGAACAGGATTCCAACAGTGGTTAAGCCATAAACGCAAATAATAATTCTATCTTTCAACAAAAAAATATCCCTTTCACAATTGAATCAAAATGTTATTATTATTTACAAATCATTTGTTTACAATATTATACAATACGTTTATTCTTTACAATTTCTGTACGATTCATTTTTTGCAAGGCGGAAAATGAGCTTCCAATCGAAAGTAATATTTAATATGTGAGTGCATTTTGAGGAGGAGGTGGGCTTAGAGTCAATTAATATGAGGAGGGGAGCTAGTAACTGAAAATACTGCGATCGGGTTACGTATTCAGTTACGTGTTCAATCATGGCGCAAAGGCGCTGTATGAAAGTCAATAGAACTGAAAACCCTAACAGTTTTCATCGATCTCGTGACAATTTACGGTGTTGATGCGATGCGCCACAAGGGATTAATTACCAGACTTTTACGTTTTATTTCCCCACGGCTATGCGGGAGAAAAAATAACTCTTCGATTAATAGATTATTACTTGTGGTAAAGTGTGTACACATAAGACCAAAGGGGACAATAAAATCAGCCGACGAAAGTATAACTCTGCAAACACCATAACAACTTGTACACCCCGGCAGAGCTGTGTCAAACATTTCAGCGTCCTGGGACAACATTTTTTCTTCAGGGCCACTGGACACAGGTAGCATATTAAGTGCAGATAAGGACATCTCCTTACTTTTACAAAACTACGGCGCCCTGGGGCAATTGCCCCCTTTGACCACCCCGCTTCCCTTAATATGGTCCTCCACCCCGGGGACATATGTCCTTATGTTATTTTTTCTATAAGACTGCGACCAGTAAAGTCCGCTAGATTTTAATTTTGTGAGGGTTTCTTCTATAGATTTATAATAAAATAAACTGAAAAAATTATCTATATTGACATTTTAGTAGGAGAAAGATATTTAAAGGAAGATGGGGCTAAAAATCTGTTTTAAAAAATTGCGGTGTTTAATAAATAAACTTGTCAAATTCTAAATGGAGCTCTTACCTTTTAAATAACGTTTACGTAATGTTTTTATTATAAAGCAAATTTTTTTGTTTGAAATATTTTTTATTAAATTAGTTAAATCTAATTTCTCCAAAAGTTTTATTTTTAGATTTTAATTTAATTATTAAATTCATCTTTCCATAGTTGATTAGGTATGTGTATAAATACTATAGCTGCCAATCTGGTTAAGCTGAGTTCAAGCGAGTAAATCGATACAAAACAGTTATTATTAGTGTTGTTGGTATTATTTATTCCCTTGATTTCGCTTGATGGCTAAGTCTAATTCTCACGTCCCCTATTGAGAAAATCGGATTTATAGTATATGTTCTATGTATATGAAGTTTGGTATTTTACCAAAACGCTAAATTGTCTGTTTGAAAAGTTTGTTTTTAAAGCCTATTTTAGAAAACAAACTTTGAAACAAACTGTTGAAAAATATCTAAATTGAATAATTTCCACTGTGGTATATATAAATTAATTTCAAGTCGTTACTATATAAATAATGCAATGAGAAATTTCCGTATAATAATTAATAATTAACTGTACTCATTGTCTTTTTTATAATAGTTATAGTTTATTTACTCAGCATTATTTTTGTGATATGTAATAACAGTATAATTTTTATAACCAAACATTACAGTGACAAGGTTCGTACCTTTGGAGGGGTTGTAAATTTCTATGCATTTCTGTCTAGGTACGAGTGTATTGTGTTGTGATAGTTTCGGTGGAATCAGCGACTGGGGAAGTAGGGCATCCTGTTCATATTCGATAACCGTATTAATGGCCTTACCTGAAAATGCCAGTGGCCTGACCTTAGTTATAGTAATTTTTTATAAGTAGAATTATTTAAGTTGCATTAATAAATATTACTATTATAATATTATAACTATGCTATATAGAATTATTTGTACAATTTATGTATATAAAAATCAAATACCATTCACTTATTGATCATCGCTTCATTTCAAAAACGACAGATCATATGAATTTAGCATTTGTAGAGTTGTTCTACTGACACTCTAAATGTGCATTAAGAAAGGATTTTCCTATATTCAACCAGTAAGGGGGAGGGGAAGAGTAAAAGTAAACAGTGGTAATTATAACTCGCGCAAACTTTTAAATTAAATATTTTATTATAACTGCCATTCGCTTGACACCGCAGACGTTCATACATTTATACTTCGTATTGCCAGGCTGTCACTTCTGAAAAACGTGGCTCGTGTACCGTTCTGCTGTGCCACACCTATAATTTTCATTGAAATTACGGTTTAGGAGAAAACAATAGTTTTTTTCATTAGATACTCCGTGCTCACTCGAATTTCATTTATTGCGTTGCACATACTTTTTACTAAGACTTGCATTGCATCGATTGTACGATAAGCTGAAGAAAAAAAAGTCGATGTGTACATTTCTTATAAGAAAACTCGGTATTTGTTGATCAAATTTTGAACAAAAAACAAATAATGATTCCATCCGACTACCACTCTCAATTTAAACGGTTACAGTTTCCTGTTAAAATTTGTCTTTTCATGACAAATAACAAAGCAGCGCAAGTGTAGTCTTTGAAAATGGCAAGTGTGGATTTAAGGAATGTCTGTTTTTTTCATGGCTCAGTGACACCAAACAAAATGTTGAATAGACTAGTCAATAGCCTTCCAATTTACAACTTACAACCCACCCCATCCAAGTTACTTGGGTTACGTACTTTAAAGGATTGAGTGTACCTCTTATAAAAATGTTTAAGCTATTTTAGCATTTAGGTATTTAACATCTTAAATAGTAATTGTTGAATGGACAGTATTATAATTTATAGTTAATTGGATTAATTAATTTATTACTCGTATACTTATCTACCACGGCACCACCCATTACCCTAAAAATATGGTTTGGTTATGACTAGACTTGAACACCTAGTGCGACATCACTTCTATCGCCAATTGTGTGTTGTTTGCATGTAAGCTCTCCTCACCGTATGGTAATATTGCAGCCTGAAGGAAGAACTAAAACATTTTTTTGAAGATATACTATAAAAAAGTATAAAATACTGCATATACCAATACAAAATTAAAAAATTAAATGTAATTAATATAACCTCAATTGAGAGATTCAGATGGGCTCAATATTATTTACCTGAAATAAAATTAAAAAAAAAAAATAGAAATATATTTAAAAAAAATGCAAATATCACTTACTGATTGATTTCAAAAACGATAAAAGGTATGGATTTGATATCTGACATAGTGATTTCTCCAATAATTTTTGATTCCCAAACTATTACATCCACGGAATTCTTAGAAAATAATTTGTGTTTCGTGAAACCTCAATGTTTTCAACTCTAATTTAACCATGTCTTTTGAATTATTTATAGACAAATCAATACTTCAAACATTTTTTTAATGATGGTTTATGATTATTGTTAATTAAAATTACCATTCTTAATATTAATTTACATCTTGCGGAACTCTTAAAAATGACCGACGGAACTTTTAGGTTCCACGGAACACACTTTGGGAATCGCTGCTCTAGACATGCAATAAAATGGGATTTAAAAAAAATATTAGCACCGGCTAAGACGGTTCCATGATGCAAAACCTTATAGTTTAGCGTACAGCCAAAACTACCATACCGATTCATTTTAATTAAATGTTTTTATTTGTTTTATAACCAACAGTTACACCTAACTAGGCTTTAAATAGTGTAAAGTAATAATCCATTAAAATCTATGTCCCGGCCAATACTATTCCGTACAATTCAGGGTAATTCAGCTAGTATTATAATAAAAATAGAACAGTAAATATTTTTTTATACCCCCTCTCCTCTTAAAATTGCACAGTTACGAGCTCTGTCCAGTCTTG